TACCCGCGAAAACTTAAGAAAACATACACACACACACACGTGTAAATATATACAGAGAGAGAGAAAGAAAGAGAGTAAGTGAATGAGTGAGTTTTGGCTGTTTAAAGATCACTATGTGGAAGGAGGTGGTGTACAAAGAACACACAAAGTCATTCTGGGTCTGAAGTCACATCTGTATAAACTAAATAATTTCCCTTTTTTATTTAGAAAGGATAACTAGGTGAAGAATAATATAAAATTAGTCAGGATGTGGAGAATGTCATTACTTCATGAGATTTCATCCAATTTATTTTTAGTTAATATAGGGAAATTATAAATGCTATCACAGGTGTGCCAGAAATGCCTTAGCAACCACTGATGTCTGCCTTCATTTGGTCATTGCACATTTCAGTAATAAAACAGATCCCCATCAAAGAAAAATTATAAACTGTTTTTTTTAACCACAGAATGTGAAAACAAGCACAACTGCTCTTCTGCAAACTGAAGCATCCATATCCCAGTACCCATGTATAGAGTGAAATAGGGCAGATGATGATGATGATGATGATGATGATGATGATGATGATGATTATTATTTTGTTGCTGTTGTTATTATCATTATCATTATCATCATTAAACTTTACAGAAGACATTGTTGAAAAAGCACTGCACAATCTAAAACCATCTCTATCTATTGGACCGGACAGAATATGTGCCTACTTCTTAAAAAAGCTATCCACTGCTATAGCCGAACCTCAAAGCATAATCTTTGAAAAATCTTTCAGGACCAGCTCCTTGCCAAAACTATGGTCACAAGCCACAGCCATCCTCATCTTCAAAAAGGGAGACCCCAGCCTAATTGAAAATTACAGACCAATCTCTCTATGCTGCATCACCTGTAAAGTCATGGAATCAATTATTAACCAATCCATTATCCTCCACTTAGAGACAAACAACCTACTCTCTAATAAACAATTTGGTTTCAGAAAAAAACTATCCTGTAGTCTGCAACTCTTACACTGCAAAAACATATGGACTACACAACTCAATCAGGGCAAAGCAATAGACACAATCTACATAGACTTCTGTAAAGCCTTTGATTCAGTGGTACACGACAAACTACTCCTAAAACTAAAATCTTATGGTATCTCTGGACACCTACATAACTGGATAGAAGCATTCCTGTCAAACAGACAACAAAAATTGGGAGTGTCCTATCAAATTCTGTACCTGTCAACAGTGGTGTCCCTAAGGCAGTGTTCTAGGACCAACTCTCTTCATACTCTACATAAATGACCTCTGTGATCATATTAAGAGCAATTGCGTTCTCTTCACTGATGATGTAAGCTATTCAACATCACAAACAATACTACTACCCTCCCAAAAGACCTTGACTATGTATCAAAATGGTCAATCAAATGGCAACTTCAAATCTCAACAAATAAATGCTCTGCCTTACATATTGGCAGGAAAAGTCAGAAAATAAAATACAAGCTAAATAATCAAGACCTTGTTGAGGATCCAAACTCTGTCAAGGACCTTGGAGTACTCATCTCAAATGACCTAAGTGCTAGAGCCCACTGTAACTACATAGCCAAAAAGGCATTAAGAGTTGTTAACTTAATCCTACATAGCTTTTTCTCTGGTAACATCACACTACTAACTAGAGCATAAAAAACATTTGTTAGACCTATACTTGAATACAGCTCATCAATCTGGAACCCATATCATGTATCTGATATTAACACAATTGAGAAAGTCCAGAAATATTTCACAAGAAGAGTCCTCTACTCGTTGCGGAATACCTTATGCCACCAGACTTGAAACTCTAGACCTAGAAAACCTAGAACTATGCCACCTCCGGTCCAATCTAAATATAGTATATAAAATCATACATTGCAATGACTTACCTGTCAATGAATACTTCAGCTTCAACCATAACAACACAAGAGCAAACAATAGATACAAACTCAAGGTTAATTGCACCAAACTTGATTGCAGGAAGTACAACTTCAGCAACAAAGTGGTCAATGTCTGGAATACTCTACCTGACTCTGTGGTTTCTTCCCCAAACCCCCCAAAACTTTAACCTTAGACTGTCTACTACTGACCTCACCCCCTTCCTAAGAGGTCTGTAGGGGACGTGCATAAGCGCTTCAATCGTGCCTACCGTCCCCGTCCTCTTGTTTTTTATTTTTCTTATAAGTATCTCATGTATTCAAAATTATATTTATTCTTATACCTATGTATTTTGTAAGTGATTGACAAATCAAATAAATACTAAAAAGGCCAAACCATTAGCAACTGTCTCCTCTTTCGACGTCAACACCCAGCTTTTATCTAGCAGGGTTGAACAGACTCTCCGCCAAGATCGGTCAGCTCTCCCTTACCCATTTTGGCGGTCGGGGCGGCGGGGCGGGGAGAGGTGCACCGGTCACTCGGCTCTCCTCCCTTCTTCTCCGGCTCCGCTCCTCTTCCTTCCGCCCTCACAGCAGCCACCTCCGCCGCCGCCGCCGCTTTCTCCTCATACCAAAGCTTTTGCCCAGGTACCCGCTTCAGCCACCTCCTTCCCAAGGCCCGAAACAAGCGACTCCTCCTCCGTTCGCCTTCCGTCGATGTATCCTACTTCTTCCTTCAGCGACAGAAACGCGCTGAAATTCTATGCAAGTCTCTTGCGCCCACGCACGCGCAGTTCCTTCGGTGGACACTTAAAAAGGATTCTACCCTCGCGGCGCAAAAGCACGCGTGCGCATTCTCAAAAAACAGGCGGGGCTACTAATTTTTTTCAGCTGCCAATTACTGTACCAGGGAGCGAGAGAGGGGTTGTTCTGTCTGTCAATCGTGGCGTGATGGACTTCTGTAGGTAGTCATCCGGACCTGCGGAAAACTCTTTTTGGAAGGAGTGTCTGTGGAGATTCTCGGTCACTTTGGGATGACTATCCAATGGTGCGGCAGTATGAACGAATTTCCAGAAACTTGCAGACTACAAGAACCTATCCTTCCGTTCCTCCCACCATCCAGTCACAGCTGATGAAGCTTCTTGGATGGGAAGCAAAACTTCTTCTTCCTGAAGGAAAAACAGCCCAGTTGTCTTTTGAAAAAGCACCTTTGAGAATTCTCAGAGGACGATCTTGATCTTAGGAACACTTAAATTAGTTCTTGAATGCAAACTTCACGGATTAGGATTCTCATCTTGGTGACTGCTATGTACTTATTTTGACAACAGTACTGAAAGTTTTGTTAGTATCTTCTGGGACCTTGTTCGATGTCCTTATTTAGTTTATATTTTGGGGGTTCCCTTATAATATTTTCTCCAAATCTGACCTGGATATCTTTTATAACTTTGCAGATAATTTTTTGTCAAAATCTGGGTTTTTCTTAACCCAGGGTGTAAGATCTTCTGATGTTTGGTAAAGACTGATGTTTCTTATCATAGTTTCTTTATATTTTTTTGTTCCGCTTTTATTATTTTTATAAATAACTCAAAGTAGTGAATATCCTCACTTCTTCCTATTTTCCCCAAAGCAACTGTGAGATTAGTTTGGCTTAAAGTAATTGGTCATCCAGCTAATTTTCATGCCTGTCACAGGACTAGAATTCATAGCCTCCTTGCTTTCTAGCGTTAACCAATAGTGGTTTTCAAGTGCTAAATTGATGCAAGTTCGTTTTTATATGCAGTATTAATCTAATGTTACTAAAGTTTTACTCAGTTTTACATACCTCATAATTTTATTTCTATTTTTTCTCCTTTATTTCTTTACTCTCTTGGCTTTGCTTTTGGATATATTTTAAAATAAAAAAACTAAGCTGCAAACCTGGAAAAAAGCAGGAGCTAGACTTCCACCAGCATAAACATTCCAAATGTGTTATGTGCAGGACAGGACAATGGTACTGAAACCGTTTAAGGGACACACACTGCCTGGCAGAACAGCCTTTTAAGGATGCTCTGTCAACTTTTCCCTTAATATCTACAGTTTATCGCTCTTGACAAAAAAAAAAAAGCAATGTATCAATTCAATTCAGAATAGAGCTGCAAGGGACCTTGGAGGTCTTCCAATCCAGCCCCTGCTCAAGCAGGAGACCCTGTATCATTTCAGACACTTTTCTATGAGTTAAGTGTAGCTGAAGTTGTACCGTTTAATCCACTTTGGTACTATTTTTATTTTTTAGATTTATATCCCACCTTTTCTCTCTCGGATATGCAGATACTTAGGAAATCCTCCCTTACTAATCTATCCTTGTATTCATGTTGCAGAAATAAGTCAAAAGTGTGCAATGATCACTTAGACACTGGTTACCTTGGAAACCCTTTTCTATTTGCTTATGTTGGGAATGAAGCTATCCAAATGATTGTAAAATAGATATCCACGTGGTTTTTAACTGAAAGTTTCAATAGGTTGCAGATGTTTGAAAATACCAGAGCCAGAGAAAACCGTGCAACAACCTAAAAGATTAAGATCATAGAAGTTTCCAGGTTAAAAAATTTTCTGTTAATGTCCAGCCCACAGAGGCTCTCTGATCTTTTGGTTGTTTAGGTCTTTAGCACTTTTTTTTTTTTAAAAAATAATTTTTATGCATATGCGTATCAGTGCTAATAAAATTTGGCCTAAAAAATCACAGTGACAAAATTCCTTTGAAGCTGGATTTTCTGGTAGAGATAAAGTAACCTATCATCCAAATAAAAATTTTTGAAACCTTATTTCAAGTAGATTGGTACATCTCTTAATATCTCCACCATAGCAAGTGTCTGTAATTTTTGTCTCAATTACCAAGTTCAGTCTGAATCTTAACATGGTACTAGGTTGTCAGGAATAGTTTTATTTTTAATGTAAAAAAAAAGCTTTACTAAAACTTCAACTTTTATTTATGCAGCTATATTCAATATATCTTTGATGATGTTGGCCTATTTCTGAATAGCTATATAGTGTGTTCTATACTGTCTCACCACCACCACCACATTTTCAGCAACTAAAATGGTTATATATATTTTAATGTCTTTTTTCACTTTATACCACCATGAATAATTTAGAAATGTTCCATTTTATTAAAACGTAAGAAAGGCAGAATTCACATAAGGAAGTAGGAATGGAACAAACCAAAATATGCAGAGGAAGCAAGATTGACAATTTAAAAATTCCAGCATTCTACTTCAAACTCCTTAAAAAACTGTTTAAAATTTGTACAGCATGTCAATACAATTCAGAAATTAGTGTTCTAAATCAAGATAAAATCCATTTCATGTATTTTTCCATAAAAATCAAAATATTTCAATATTAACCATTGTCTGCCACATAAAGATAAGATTAGTAACAATTTTGCCTAACAATATTGGTTTAGAAAATATATGCAATACTTGGGAGTGGAACATAAATCAGTGCTATTGCTCATTGAAAGAACAAGAAGTTTGGAACTTTATACAGTCATGCTACAAATTTCACACCTTTAAGAAATCATCACACTGGGATACATAACGTGTTACAGTTCAGAATTGGTAGTAAAAACAAAGGCCCATATTATTTAATATCCCATACAATAAGAACATTGTTCCTTGTAAAACAGATATCACAAATCCATATTCATCACTTGACAATCCAACACTGCATGTTAGATCTGCATTTTGGCTCCTTTAATAGATACATCTTATGCCCATGGTCTAAGATACATCTTATGCCCATGGTGCTTAGACCAGTTTAGGTATGTATATATCAATTATATTTTTCTCTCAGCTGTACTATACTCACATATTATTAGACAAATAATTAATAGTCTTGTCACAATTGATCTTACTATATACACGATTGGTGGTTACTTTCTGATCATACCTCCTTCAAGTTACTGTGGAAAAATGCTGTCTGATATGAAACTATGACCTCTTCTCTGAAATCTAAATAAGTTATTCCTTTGTGAAGGAGGAAGAATCAATCATAAATACACTCATTTTAGTATATCAGAGAAGAGCTATCATACATATACAGGTGACACTATCAAAGCAGCTTGATATGGAATAAGCAGCATATTAATATACACAAAATGCTTGAACATTTTGAAGTTCCATAAATTGCATCTATCTGATCATTTTTTCAGAAAAAAGTAACCATTCCATGTTAACATATAATTCTCAACATTGTAGTATGTGTAAAAGCTTTGCTGCCTTATGGAAAGATTTTTGTTTGTTTTGCATAATTGTATCGCTGCTAAGAAAAATGATATAAAAACTGCTGTTGAAAGTTTAAGCAAAACTTCTCATCAGGCAAATGCTCATCTAGTAGAACTGTAAAAACCACTTGTTGCTGAAGTGGTTCCTACATTTTAGTAAATAATATATAGTTATAAGGGCCACACACATATACAATTTAAAACTAGATGCACTTTTGTACTCAAGATACTAGGTATGTATCCAAATACCCACAGTTTATACCCACAGTTCAATCACTTTTGAAGAGTGTTTAGTTGTAGAGAAGGGACAACAACATTTGGATGATTATCTAATGTAGCATATTAAATTAAAGTTTCAATCTAAGATATTTTTGCAGGAGTAAAATGTATCCTCCAACAAATCCTGCAAAGGACAAGTCCTTGCTTATAGGCAAAGGACAATTTTAACTAAAGCAGAGCTTAGTTGCATAGAAGCCCTGATAATTATGATACCTCATAACTGGTATCAAAGAAATTGCCTAGAACCAGGGAGGGAGAGAAAAAGAATATACTATTTAATAAAAGGTATTGTTAGACTGCTATAACAATGAATAGCTTTTAGGCATCTATAACAAATTATTTCAGGTAGAATGTTAATTGGCATTCAGTGCCATTGCAATAAAAATGCTCAACACAAATGGCCATAATATATACATAACTTTAATTGAATATGTTGATAAAATCTGAGATGATCTAAAACACCAAGGATATCCCTGCATTTTTAAGTCATTGGCATGGAGTGGGGAAGGTAAGAGAGGGAAACGATGGGTAAGAAGTTCATCATATATACTCATTAACTTCAGTTGTAAGTCTTCCTGGAAGAAGTTAATAAGAGCTAGTGACACTGTTTCAATGCAACTTTGTTCTTAACTTTAGAAGACTGAAAGACTACCAATCTGCTTCATTATTTCCCATAACCGAGTTATTTTTACACTCTCAGGATTTCTAGACAATTGTTATAACAGATAGCTATCCAGTCCGGCTGGGTTGATGCCCACTGTACATTGTTAATTTCTCCTTCTGCTGTGTAAGCCAAAATTGGGTCCTCAATGGCACGAGGCATTTGCTGGATATCCCAAATGAGAGCTTGATGGTCATCCGCTGTCAAAGGTGAAATACAGATTTTGTTAAATTTTCTTTGCAGATAATTTATTTATCCATGTATTCCAAAATAGAGGAAAAAAGCCTTGAGAAGTCATGGGTGACATTACTATCAAATATGTGTGACAATATCTGGCTAATCTTGAAAATTATTTTTTGTTGGTGGCTAGATATTTAAATATTTTTACAAGATAAAATCATATTGATTAAATTGTTTTGTAACACTTCAAAAAATAGGCATTCTTAGTGTACATCAATACATCTATGTTATTGTTGAGAGATCCTTGGTTCTCTCTGCTTGTTTTTTTGCAGACATTTCATTACCCTAACTAGTTAACATCATCAATTCCAGTAAGGAGTGCTATTAGTTGTCAGTTTATATTCTGATGGCTTGCCTGTCAGTGTTGGTGGGGGTGGTCTTAGAGACTCTTTGGTTTTGTCACCAACCAGTGAGCTGCGGCCGACTGGTGGGTCGCGAGAAAATTTTAGTGGGCCACAGAGAAATCTCACCCCCAGAGCACCCCCACAAAGCAATTAATCCAGGTTGCATAGAAACACAAGGCTGCGCCGCCCACATGGCCCACAGGAACCCTCCCTGCCCATTTACTCCTTACCCAGTAAACTTGCCTGCTAAATTGCTATTTTTCCTTTTTCCGACCATCATCTGTTCTGCTGTGCCGGGAGATTTAGATTAGCTAGGAAGCAGGAAATGGTTGGATTTCTTGCTTTCTAGCTAGTCTTTAGATCTTTGGCTCAGCACAGCCGAACCTCCCTTAGGTCTGAAGGTTTGCTTGCAAGCAAATTCAGTGCAGACTCATGGCAAGCAAATTTGAGAGATTGAGCTAGCCGATGGCAGATATCTATCTGAATGATTCTGTGAACAACTCAATCTGCCTGCTTTGCCTGCTTTTGGGTAAAAGTTGCTCCTTTTTATAAAAAATTCAGTATTTATATAAATATTTATATTTACATACAAGTCATGCCCAGCCAGTCACATGACCAAGCCATACCCACAAATTAGGTCATGCCCACAGAACCGGTTAGTGGTCCCTGGGATCTAAAATTATGATTTATGAGGTCCAAAAGGTTGGCAACCCCTGCTTTAAAGCATTATGGAGCAATATATAAGTCTTGATACAGCAATTGTTATTGCTGTTTTCAAAAACAGTATCTCAAGAAAGAGTGAATAGGTCAAGGAGAAAATGAAAACCAAGAAAGTTGTGGCTCAATGGAGTTAATGATTCATAAAAACAGAGTTGATTTAAGAAAGGAAATCTACAATCAGAGAATGTATGTGGAAGAAGCAAGGAGTTTTGCCAGAATAATTTTGCTGATGCCAATGAAATGGCATAGACAAAATTATGCTTAGATATATTTTCTTTTTGTCTTATCTCATGCCTTTGATTTCTTTGGCATATTATTTATTAGTCTTCAAATTATATACAAGAATGTAAAGACTGCAATCCTATGTTCGCATATTGGAAAATGATAGTAAATCCCAATCATTTCTTAAATGCCCAAATAAAAGAGAGGAGGAATACAAATAATCCATCTTTACCTGCTGTACAGATATGGCAAGAAGAATGTGGTGCCCAAGCAATACCATTTACACATGCTCGATGATTGTTCAGCCTGGCAACTGGTGTGCAAGGAACTCTGACATCTAGAATCACCACCTTAAGAGGGAAAAATAATTCTAAATATTAATTCTAAATAAATTATTTTAGATTTTATTTTTATCCTTTCATTGATCAGTTTTTTATGTCCTCAGAGCATTCATACTGCAAACCAGCTGTCAAGTCAACATACTTATTCCAAGAGATGGGAAAATGCATTTGTTCTCATAATGAATATAAATATGTCACAGTGTGTCCTGATTATGGACACTTCTTGTAAAGAAGTCTAGATGACAAATCACAATACAAAATGTACAACTGCTCAGTAATACAATAGTAGATATTATCAGTATAATTTATTTATTTAAATTGAGAAACTAACACAAGTAATACATTATTTCTAAAAATGGGTTCTGCTTGTAGAAATATTTCAGCAATCAAAGACAGGTTAGCTCATCTCACCAAACCACCATAAAGATTTTTACTGCCCATTTCACTAATATCTTCTAATTAACATATTCGTCTACCTGACTGTTTTGCTTTATGGAACTAAATGCCAGTAAAAAAAATTTCAGGTAGCAAAAACTGTAGTCCCATTGCTTTCACCATGTAGTTGGAAAGCAGAGTTAACCATACTCACTATATACTCAGAAACAAAGTGTACTAGGCGTTCTCACAGAAGTCTCACCTCCATACCATCCATTGCCATTGTTGCAAGGTAATTAGGATCTTGTTTATTCCAGCAAAGGCGAAGTAAAGGATGGTGCTGAGGATCCTCATAGATAATAGTGCTATGTTCCAAGTGCCTTAGGTCAAACATCCTCACTGAGCCATCAGCACCAACAGAAGCAAACATGTCTCTCCCACCTCCTGCACGGCTGAATGCAATATCATAGACCTGTTCAGATACCAACATCAGAAGGTGATAAAATATGATGCTTCCCATATTAAGGATTCCTGTCCCACTTTAATTTTTCATGCAAAGGCAGGAGTAAAGAAGGTATGTCCAACCAATTACTTGCTTTAGCCTAAAAAAAGGACAATGCTTACCACAAAATAGGGCTTTAGGCATAACACTCTCTCCTTCTGAGCAGAATGTTTCTTTTGCAAAATATTTTACTTTGTTGTATTGATTCCCCATTATCAATGAATTACTAAAAGGAAAATAAATGCATTACTAATAGTAGCAACACAACCCACCTTGGCTCCTAGATGACTATTTCCAATGTATAGATTGGATTTTTAAAAACTTTTACTAACTGCACATATTTACAGAAAAAGAAAAATATTACACCATCACCTCTTTGTCATGGGCAATCAACTGAGTCTTGACATGGCCAGACACTAAATTCACTCTTCCCAAGACCTGGCCAGTTTCCAAACCCCAAATAGTACAAGTTGTGTCAATGCTAGAAGTACCTGGTATAGTTTGAGAGGAAAGAAAAAAATATTAGAACTATTTTTTCTTAAAAGCAATACAAATATGGGTCATTACATAAAATTTCTAATCCTAGACCTCAAGAAAGTGAACTTCTATCTCCTTAATTTACAAAAAGCTTCTTCAATGTATCTGTTAACTCTTGTAAAATAGTAAACTAGTTTACAAAAATTAACTCTTTTGTGAAATGGTAATCCTTGGATCCTCTATGGCAATCAAAACATTTAAATCAAATTATCAGTTTTTTTAAAAAATAAAATAAAATGTATGTTTCTATACTGTGATTAATTGATATTCTGTTTAATATTATGGGACTATGACTGCCTATATGATCAAAATATTTGACCTGAACTAATATGTGTTAACAAAAGTAAATTTTAATCAATAAGTATCTATAACAGAATAAAATTACATATATTCATTTTATGCATCAATGTAATCCACTAGTATAAACTTCAATTTTAAAGCCTTAGTGATAATTCAAATAAAATGGGAGAAAAAAATATAAGGCCAAGAAGGTCCTAGCTATTGAAGGGACTCATTATGCAATTATAAAAGCAGACCACCAAAATCACAGATCATTTTTCTGCTTAATATTTGCCAATTTAAAAAGCTGATAATTATTTTGCTAACTAGCTCATAATTGCACCAACAAAGAATTGCCAAAAGAAAAGAGTGGTTAGAATAATTTTTTTCAGGTCTCTTTATTGGATAATGTAATTTTAAAAAGGCTAACAGTAGAAGATAAAGGTATCTGCACAGGACAGCTCCCTGTCAATTTAACCAATCTGTCATAACTAAGTCAAGTACATGTAGGTAGTCCTTTACTGTTTGTTCAGTGACCATCTGAAATTAGGACAGCATTGAACAAAGGGACATACATCATTTCCTGAAGTTCTGATTGCTGCAGTCTTAAAGTCTACAATACAAAAATTCAGATGCTTAACAACATGCCCACTCTTATGACCATAGCAGTGCTGCAAATTCCTGCTGTCATGTGCTGAGAAGTATCAGCCGGCTAAGCCCACCCATGTGCAGGCCTCCGATCCATCCCCCACTCCTGCAAATCCTGGGCCTCCTCCCTGCCCAATCACCTAAGTCCACTTATCTTCCCTTTCCATGCAAGTGCTGACAAGTGCCTCCAGCTGATATGAAGCATAGTTATTGTAGAAAGCTAGCCAATGTGATATTTCCGAAGACAGAAAGAAACTTAAAACATGACAATGACTGGCAACCATCTCACAATGTACTGAGGCTCTTTCTATGCCAGGGAACATCATAAGATGAACACCAGCCCTTGCAATGTTTCTGAAGGCTAGAAAGAGCTTTACAAGCATAATAAAGGCTGATGCTCATGTGGTGACATTTCCAAAGGTAGAAAGAGTCTCAAACATCACATTAGATAGATTTCTATAGCACCTGCACCTTGCATCAGCTGAGCACATTTGTCAATAGCGGCACAGAAAGGGAAAGTAAATGGGCTAGTAGGTTTGGGCAGGGAGAATGCCCAAGACTTCTAGGAGAGGTGGAGGGCGGGGGGAGAAGGTGCATACATTGTGAAGGTCCATATCCCCTTGCAAAAATTTAATGACCCATATGATCACTTAACTATGGCAGTGGGGGGAGCTAGGATGGGAGTCAAGTTTTTTACTGTTGGATAAAAAAGTCATAATGTCTAGAAGAAGCTCTTCCAAGTCTAGTTTAATCTTATGCTGTAACTTTTAGGATCTCCTCTGGCCATAATTGCAGAAAATTGGCATCTTTTTTTTTTTTTTTGGAATTTTGAGAACAAATGAAAATAAGCCTAGTCAAGGGGGAAAAAAACCCCAAAGAAACTCCTCTAAATCTTCCTTTCACTTAAATCCATGATGTATCTCCAATCATTTGCAGCTAACCACTCCACCCAATATGTTAAAGGCCATTGGTCACCAAAAAGATTGTCTATGTCTTATCTAGAAAATAATTCAAAGCCTACCTTTGGCTAGTTTCTGAGATATCTGTCAAAAAAAATCTTATCTAAATTTATAAATAGAACTTTTAGTTGTTTTAATCAGGTTACCATCATCATTCTGCTACATTAATATTTAGACCTTACCTAAGAGATAAGGATCCACTTCATTCCAATCAAAGGAAGTCAGTGGAGCACAAAAATCAGAATTCTTATTGTTGTTCAGCAGACATTCTAGCCTGGTCTCTGTTTCACCCACCTGAACAAAAAATATCAATAAATACTTGTCATCACATTAAGTTAGTTTACATATTTAAAAGAATATGGATTCCCTAAAACTTAGGAAATGGCCATTCTGTGTTTGTCCTCCAAAGTCTCACACTTTTCCATAATTCTGCATGTATTTCATTTCATCCAGAGAGCAACAGCAGAGACAATATATAGTTTCCCCATTGCAATTATTGGATTCTTCATATTAAAATACAGAGTCCAAGAGAAGTTTTTAGTTAAATTGGAGGGAATTCCTTACAGCAACAGTCATATTTCTCCTTGAACCCTTAAATACATTTTGCGGGGGCACAGAAGAAAATCCAACTGCATGAACACATTTATTTCTTGTAATTTTAGATTTAATTAGAGGTTATCAGCAGAAACAATGAATGCAGCCAATGACAAGAACAGTACCATGTCCTACACATGCAAAAGGCATTTGCATAATGATACAATGCTGCTTTCATCATTTTGACAAAATGTTAGATCTTCTTGGCTATAATTTAATTTAAATCTGATTTTCTTTTTAAAGTTTCTTATTCATTTTTTAATTAAAATTTGTATAGATAGTCCTTGACTTATAACAGTTTACTTACTTACTCACTTAACAACCGGTTACTAACTTATCAACTGTAGTGATTCACTTAACAATTGAGGTAAGAAAGGTCATAAAATAGGGTAAAACTCACTTAACAAATGTCTCACTTAACAACAGAAATTTTGGGCTCAATTGTGGCTGTAAGTTGAGGACTACCTGTATACCACCCATTTTGCCATTTGGGGCGACTCTAGGTGACTTACAATATCATAAAAAATAAATATATAAAATATATATATATAGAAACTGATTAAAATCAGTTATAGAGTAACTGATTAAAATTAATTATAGAGTAAAAGACTGAGTTTAGAGCGGAGCAGTAGTGGTGCCTTCTCAGTCACTACAACTGTAGATGACCAGGCCAAGTCGGTGTGTGTGTGTGTGTGTGTGTGTGTGTCAAACACGTCAGTTTGTAGGTTTGAACTCTATCCTGGCTACTTGTGCCTGACATCAGCCACCTGCAGCCTACAGCTTCTCCGTCAGGGCCCCATACCAACCAGCAAATCCAGGTTTTAAGGCTCCTTCCAAAGGCCAGAAAAATGGGGGTAAATCTCAAGTGCTGGAAAAAAACGTTCCAAAGGGCAGGGGATATAATAGGGAAGGCTCTTCTCCTAGACCCAGCCAATTTGGCTAATGGGGTTTGCAGTAGGTCCTTTTTACTAGAGTGAGACAAGTCAACCCCTTTGGGGCAAGATTTGGATATTCTGGACCCATGCCATAATGGATTTGACCAACAGTATATTCAGGTTATTATTGATAGTGATTATGATAAATTCAATTTTTTTTTAAGGTGAAATTACTTCTGATTTATAAAGCACTCTTTGTAAGCAATCTTCTCTTAAAATCCCACAAGAGACTTAAACTTCAATATTTTTGAAGCACATTTTGCGGGTTTTTTTAATCCCACAGATATAAATATTATTTTTGCTATCCATTTATGAGATATAGACAAATATCAAAGATCAGCAAGATCTACCAGAAGCAAGTAATATTTTCAGAAGCATAACTTTGCACAATGCTTTCATACAAAAGTTCAGAGCAGAGATGATAGAGCAGCAAATGCTATATGAAATACTTTGGTAATGTTCAGAGATGCAGCTTCATATGTAATGGATATAAGATGCCATTTGTTAAGCTGGGCTCTAGAGAGCAATCTGAATTACCGTTACTGTAGCCGATCTCTGTAGTGTAACAACCTATCTACCTAAGTTCCTTGATTGTATGGCCTGACTGGTCATGAATTTCCCCAGGCTTATGGTATAAGGGGACTTTAAACTGCTTTCTCTTAAGACCAATGTCTGAGATGGTTTGAGAGTTCATGGCCAATAGCACAGTCTTGGATCTGATGCAATTTGTCAAGTGTTAACACATAGTGGTGACCATAGACAAAATCTAATTTTGTCAAGGCGGTAGCTTGACAAATTACTCCCACTGAAAATGGAGATTACCACTTCTTCCCTGTTATTGGTCAAATCACTTTCTGGTTGCCTTGATGTTGCTCTCTGCTGTAGAGAGGCTCAGCCTAATTGATCATCACCACTGATTCATTTTATTTGGTTCCACAAGGAGCTTGCGGCGTATTCCTGCAGATCTGGTGCATAGTTTGACTGTGCTTCATCTTAAGCACTCAAAGAGCCATTTGGACCTGTTTCCCACAGGAAAAAAAACACCAGGAGCCACAAAACCTGTGTGGGTGTGGCCAACTCGACATCACTCTCTCCTACCCAGTCACATACAGCCCCACTAGCCACGCCTACCCAGCCAGTTATTAGAGCAGAAAACCAGGAACCACAAAACCCCTTTCTCTCTCTCTCTCTCTCCCCCCTCCCTCCCTCTTTCCTCCCCTTCTCTCCCCATCTCCCTCTCTCTGTGGAACTCCGCAGTTGTGGTTCACCAGCAGCCAGTGCAGACGGCAGAGGTATCGGACAGTGAGGACGAAAGGGAACCAGTCAGGGAGTCTGGAAAGGACTTGGATGAGGGTCCTGCGTCCGATGCAGGGATGGGTCCAGGACCATCTGGGAGTGGGGTGCTGCCTTCAGAGCCTTTGGAGCCTGGCAGCAGCAAAGCAGAGGACCCAGGGGAGCCTGTTCCCAGTGCACGTGTGCGCAAAGCTGATAGAAGGCGAGAGCAGTTGAAGCAGAGGGGGCGACTCGGCTGGGAGGTTATTGCCCCTCCCATAAGGGATAAAAGTCAGACCTCAATGATGAAACCTTTTCAGGAAGCAAAGCAGTTCAATATATTATGAGTCCTTTTTGAAGCTCTGCATATTCTGGTCGGTTTTTTCTAGTACTGTTATAATTACTTTGGAAACTTCTGTTTTTGGCAGCATTCCATAGCACTGACAGGTGTGTGCTTATCTTGGAGAAGTCTTTTAAGTTAGTTTTGACTGTGAATGAAAATAATTCCCAGTGTTGCATTAAAATAGGTTTTGCTTTTAAAACAAGTTTGTGTTTCATTAAGTTTGACGAAGCCTGGGTCAGAATACCTCTTCCTCTCTGTCTCTCCCTCTCCCCTTCTGTATCTGTCTCTCTCCCTCTCTGTATCTTTCTCTCCCCCGCCCTCTCTCCCCCCCCCCTCCCCCTCTATGTCTGTCTGTCTGTCTGTCTGTCTGTCTCTCTCTCTCTCTCTCTCTCTGTGTATCTGTATCTCTCTCTGTCTCTGCGTCTTCTCTCTTGCTTGGAAAGTCAGCAAGCTCTCCTTGGGGCTCTTCGCTACTCCTTTTCTTTCTTCTGTTTGAAAATCCAGGCTGGCTATGGAAAGAGTGTGAGCCACAGTGGAGGCTTCCCTTCTCTTCCCCCTCTCCCTCCTTCTTTTCTCGCAACCCCCTGGCCGGCTGTGGCGGGGCCGGGAGGGAACGCAAGTGTGCGGAGACCCTCAAGTGAGCAGCTGGGCATAGCCAAAATGCAGCAAAGGAGCATATGGGGCAGGCAGCCGCTCCTTGAGGGGAACTTTCCCATCAAAAGTTTAAAAAGCAAAGATCAGAGGTTTTTTTTAAAGAGCTAAAAAGAACAAAATTTGTAATATAGTCCTGTATATCTTTAAGTCCAATTGGATCAGAGGTAGTATTCACTAGTTCTGGAGAACCGGTAGCGGAAATTTTGAGTAGTCCGCACAACCAGCAAATACCACGTCTGACTGGCCCTGCCCCATCTATTATCTGTCTCCCAAGTCCTAGCTGATTGGCTGGTCTTCTTTTGTTGCCCTGCACAGGAGAACGGAGCTGGAAAGCAGGTTAGTGGGGTGGGGAGGGAATGGGGATATTACAGTATCCTTCCCCTGCCATGCCCATCAAGCCACGCCCACCAAGCGACACCAAGCCCACCAAACCACACCCACAGTACCGGTAGTAAAAAAATTTGAATCCTACTACTGAATTGGATGACTTTCATTGCCAGAAAATGTATTTTCACTGTGAATTTCCTTATAGCAAAAGTGGTTTGGAGTTCCAATAGTAAACAATGAAAGAACAGAAAAAAAGTTGCAAAAATCAACCAAGGAGCAAGATTAGCAATGAACCAGTACTAAATCAGAAGACAGAATAGCTTTAAAGGGTGCAATTAAAACCCAGGCGTACTTAAAAAAAAAGCTGAGGGGAAAAATGGTAAAAGACCAGACCTCCAATTGCTCCTTACCAAGAATTGCAGTCTTCAAGATCCCCTCTTCTCTGTAGGTATAACAATTGTCCGAAGGTCATCTTGGGTCATTCCTAGTCACTCCTTCAGAAAACAGGGAGCAAAGCTGCCAAATAACCAGCTTTGGTGGCAAAATCAGCTGTTTGTCAGTGGGAGAAAAAGTCACCCCTGCTCAGTATGTCATCTTGAGGGAAGTCCCTGAGCTATGTTTAGTTTTAGTTTAATTTGCTTTATTGTCATTGCACCTCGTACAACGAAATGAAACACCATCTTCAGTGCACATCATGACCATGAAAATAAACACAAACACACATCCTTCACCCTCCACACATTGAACCGGAAACCCCTGACACCACACCAACACTGCACTATACAGCAGAATTCAAAAGAGCTACTGCCCTGGGATAGAAGCTGTTTTTCAGCCTATTTGTCCTTGTTTTTATTATTCTGTATTGTCTGCCAGATGGTAATAGTTCAAAAAAAGGGTTCCCAGGATGAGATAGATCTTTGAGAATGTTTTGAACTTCCTTAAGGCAGCGGGAGCTATAAAGCTCTTCCAAAGAGGGGAGAGGGCAACCAATGATATTCTGGGCAATGACATTAACCCTCTGGAGTGCTGTCCTATCTGCCACTGTGCAACTGGCAAACCATACAGAGGTGCAGTATGTTAAAATGCTCTCTATGGTGCAGCAGTATGAAGTCACCAGCAGTTTTTCATTCAGTTGTTTTCTGAGAAGCCTCAGGTAGTATAATCTCTGCTGGGCCCTTTTGACCAGAGCTGCAATGTGGGTCCTCAAATGTATGCGGAAGAAACCCAGTAACTTAAAACTGGCCACTTGCTCTACTTGGTCTCCATTGATAAGCAAGGGCTGTCTGTCTGATCTGTTCCTTCTATAACCTACCATAAGCTCCTTGGTCTTATTGGTGTTGAGGACCAAGTTATGTCTCCACACCATGAAAGCAACCGGTCCACCTCATCTCAGTAGACAGATTTATCCCCCCTGGAGATAAGTCCCACCACTGTTGTATCATCTGCAAATTTAGCAATAGTATTACTAGTGTGAGTGGGAATGCAGTCATGCACATAAAGAGTATAGAGTAAGGGACTCAACACGCAACCCTGTGGTGTACCAGTGTTAAGAATAAGGGCTGAAGAGGTATGATTACCTAATCTGACCCTCTGTGAGCGGACAGACAGGAAATCCATAATCCAAAGGCAGATTGAATTAGAAAGC